TCAGCTCTGGAAGGGTCTAGAGCCTCCATTTTTGCACTCAGGTCAAAGTCTCATGCCCTCTATCAGAATCCAGAGTTTTGAGAAGATTGGAGAAACTTAATTTTTCGCCCGAAAAAAAAAAAAACGAAAGGGTAACACTGTCGTTTTTTTTCGGGTCGAATTTTGAATTTCGATATCTCAGCTCTGGAAGGGTCTAGAGCCTCCATTTTTGCACTCAGGTCAAAGTCTCACAGCCCTCTATCATAATCCAGAGTTTTGAGAAGATTGGAGAAACTTAATTTTTCGCCGAAACGAAAAAAACGAAAGGGGTACACTGTCGTTTTTTTTTCGGGTCGAAATTTTTGAAGTTTGATATCTCAGCTCTGGAAGGGTCTAGAGCCTCCATTTTTGCACTCAGGTCAAAGTCTCACAGCCCTCTATCATAATCCAGAGTTTTGAGAAGATTGGAGAAACTTAATTTTTCGCGCCGAAAATGAAAAAAAACGAAAGGGGTAACACTGTCGTTTTTTTTTTTTCGGGTCGAAATTTTGAAGTTTCGATATCTCAGCTCTGGAAGGTCTAGAGCCTCCATTTTTGCACTCAGGTCAAAGTCTCAGCCCTCTATCATAAATCCAGAGTTTTGAGAAGATTGGAGAAACTTAATTTTTCGCCGAAAACAAAAAAAACGAAAGGGGTAACACTGTCGTTTTTTTTTTTCGGGTCGAAATTTTTGAATTTCGATATCTCAGCTCTGGAAGGGTCTAGAGCCTCCATTTTTGCACTCAGGTCAAAGTCTCACAGCCTCTATCATAATCCAGAGTTTTGAAAGATTGGAGAAACTTTTTTTTCGCCCGAAAAAAAAAAAACGTAGGGGGTAACCACTGTCGTTTTTTTTTTCGGGTCGAATTTTGAATTTCGATATCTCAGCTCTGGAAGGGTCTAGAGCCTCCATTTTTGCACTCAGGTCAAAGTCTCAGCCCTCTATCATAATCCAGAGTTTTGAGAAGATTGGAGAAACTTAATTTTTCGCCCGAAAA